CTCTGATCCCATCTAACAGCCGACATACGGTCAGGTTAAACAGGATTCCCCAGTTTACTTTTAATTTAAGCAGATTACTCACTGAAGCTCACTAAAGCTGGATCTGTTTACAGGAAGTGTACTTAAACTAAAAATGATTTTTTTCCCCCCATTTGAAAGCCGTTTAAGAGCCTGAGGCAGACGATGCGATATATCACATGAGGTCACATGGCGTAAAATTGGTGACATTTTAAGTTATGGTTTATTAGTCATATGCTTCACCTGATGTTAAAACATTAACTCTGCAGACTCAGCATGTCTCAGATTTGTAAAGCTCAGTGAGTCCAACCAGCAGCACAACCAGTCTAGATTTCTTTATTTACAGCCAGTCGTTAACAAAAACTCGATTTAAATAATAGTTTTTTTTAACGTTTTACCCTCCAAAGCCTTAACAATATGAAGGTCTAACCAGACTAAAGTTTTCTTGAGGTTTAACCCTGGAGAGGATATATCACAAAAATTATAATGTCTTAACATGTTGCATAGCGGTGGTGACTCAGCACGTTTAAACCCGTTTTTATTTCTTTACTTTGTCTTCAGCCCCCGAGGCACAACAGTAGTTTTTATAAAGCTGCTCTGTTCATGCAAACCTTTGGTGTTCTTTGCACCAGTGAGGAAACTTTAATAAAAATTTAAAATCACCGAGGCAGCTCTGTATCTAACATAATTTTTATACTTTATACCAGTCACTCAGTTGCTTGTTCTTGTAAGAAACTGTACGCCACCTGTAAAGAGCATTTTTGTAATTTCATAACTTTTGAAATTATATTCATATTTTATGCATGGTTTCCCTTTGTACTTTTATATACAACTATTGACTGATATGCACTCTTTTGAACCCTCCTTGTTGTTGATGTGACGCCATTCAGTGTTTATCATAAAAAGTAATTTAACGTTGTTTTAGTTGTTTTTGTTTTTTTGGCTTCATAATTCATGGCTTTTCCTAATCTGATGGAGACAACTAATGAAGCAAAACATTTTTATGATGATAATTTTCGAAGAGCTGCACACATTTGCATTAATCTGTTTTTGTCTGGGGTCAAATTAACCCGAAGAGTAAAATGTGGCATTTATATTTGAGAATAGGAGGGTAAAATAACTTTCCTCAAAAATGTTTGCTAAATTAAATATGTCCCAGAAACGCTTGTTAGTCTTTCATTTAAAATTTGGATGTTCAAATGAAAGATTTTACAAGTTGTATTCTGATAACTCGGACAAGAATGGTGATCTAAATGAAATGAGTGGTCCATTTTTTATGTTTTGGGCTTCATCTTTCAATTCATGCAAACTTTGGCCGATCATGAAAGGACATTTGTAGGGATTTCCACATTCTTCTGCTGATTCTGATTCACTAGTTTAAATATTGAAATTAACCAGCATTTAAAAGGTCTGCCTGCAGACCTTAATGAGCTGTTAGGTCTCACTGACTGACAGGAAGCATGGCCCCAGCTTGAGATCTGTCAGCTGAAACAATGCAAATGACTTGAAAACCCCTACAAGAAGGTAAAGTAGCACAGACTGTGGCCAAACATGCTGACTGTCTCAAGTCAGCTGTGTTTAAAGTTTGGATAAAGTACAAACAAAGTTGGAAGGTTGTAAAAGGGAAACAAACAGACCGAGGAAGCAGTCAAAGTGCCACATGGGTATCTGGAAGAAAAATGTCTCTGAAATAGGACGAGCAAAGGTGGTAGTCTGAAGGAAAATGCATTCAAAAACTTTAAGAAATAAGGAAACAATGTCTTATTTGGTATACGTTTAGCAGGAAATCAAGAGTTTATAAATTGTAAATACAAATGCATCAATCATATTTAAAATTGTATGTATATTAGACAGTTCTACCTGATAGTGCTTATTCAATGTGTGTCACAGCTTAATACTCAGGCGTATATTTGCAAAATCCATCACCTTTGAAATGAAATAAAAATTGAGTCACTGTTTTATTAAAAATTCCAAATTCCTTTACAGTAACATTTGAATAAAAACAGACTATAAATGACTCAAAGTTGTTGCTGACAAATGAGGTTTTGTGGCTCCAGTTTTGTGATTAATGCATCTTCACAGATTGTCTGCTTCCGGTTAAATGGAGCTGAAACTTCCTGTCATTGCAGTGCCACTTCCTGTTGCATTGTTGGTGTATTTGTTTGTATATGGCAGCCAGCCTATTGTCTTTCTGCTGCCCACCAACTTTGCTTATGTGAAATGTGCCCCCCCACGGCCTATGTCCATTTTCAGAAAGGGGGGTCCACATGTGAGTGTGTTGGATAAGAGGGGGTTGGTATCAGCCCGTCTGGGGGAGGGTCACGCGCTCGGGGAGAGCACCAGGGGGGCTGAAGGGTGCCATTATCCACTGGGCTAAATGGGAGCTTTGTGCTAGTGTGTGATGGTGGGGAGAGGGGTGAGACGGGTAGGTCAGCAGTGCCCTGTCATAATGTTTTTGGACAGGAGACATTACAGACACAGGAGGTGTACATGTTTATGCTTTTGCTTACAAAGTGGTCCTGACATTTGTGTCAGAAACATTTTTTTCTGCTTTCTCTCTGTTGCTGTGGGGTTTGTAAACACTGACTGGTCTTTTTTTTTAACCATTGGTTTCATCAAAGCCTTACCCTTTAGTTCTGATTATTTACCGTTGATTGTTTCATAAACAATAAAACAGTTTGATCATTTTCTAGCTGTCTAATTTAGCTGGAATAAAAATTCTGTAGTTTTCCTCTTAGTGTACATGAGGTACAAATGCCATTTTTATTTTCAGATCAACAGTATTTGTGACTTTTAAAAAATGTTGTACCTTGTTGATGAAATATCTAAACGAACAAAGACTTTCTTAACTTTGGGGCTTTTTCTTTTTTCTTGCTCTAATAAAAATACTCGTCAGGGTGCCTCGGATCACATATTTTTCTTCCTCGCCCGCATCCTTTAATTGATCAGATCCTGAAGAGTACCTGAAATATAAATATATAAAAATGTGTATTTCTTTTGCAAACCCCACAAATGTGCTCACTTCCGCCTGATTTTGATTCTCATAAAGTTATTGCAGGGATAATTAAAGGGATACTTTGCAACTTTTTCATATATTTTTTTGTTTTCTTGAGCCAGTATGTGCTAAAATGACCCTTTACAGGGTTAACGAAATGCCACCCAGCCCCATCACCCCCTGTGGCCAGAATGTCCACTGTCCGGTCTGTTGGACTTTTAAAAAATTGAGCATACATACTTGGTGCTGCAGTCCGGCTCCAGCACGTTTCCTGCATGTTTTAGACAATGAACATTGGATCATGAAAGCTGATTTGTTCAAATTAGTGATGAATCACCCCTCCAGACATGAAGGAAAGCTGGGAAACGTTTCAGCTGTCAGATTAAAGTGTTTAAAAGATGAACACACAGCGGCAAGATAGGTTTTGGTTCTACAAACGGACACTCGGGGGTTCTGAAAGCAAGCCAAAATTGCCTAGTCTCCCTTTAAACCAGTGTCTCTCTAAGCTACGACTGCTGACTAATAATTACAACTGGTATTCTCGAAGGAGTTTCCAGAATGTCTTGAAACATTTGCGAAGGTTCTCAAATTTCCTGTATGAGTCACAAAACCTTACTGCCATGCTGCTTAGGGTTTGAAAATGTTCAAAATGTTCGTAAGACAATCAATCAATCAATCAAACTTTATTTCAGACAAGGGCTATGTCCATAACAAGAATAAAAAATAAAAAATAAAATACAAACACATTCTAATTACAAACCGTATAGGCAGTTGCTCCAATGTTTAAAAAGGACTGAGGAGTACCTCGTGTCACTGTAAGATAAAGATGACAGAGCTCTAACAACCGCGTTAGCTGACAAACTCAGTCGGCAGATGAATTTGTACATGAAGAGCCTCAGAAGCGCATGAAAAGTAGGGATGTTACTCGTAACAAACATATGACTTGCCGAAGTCCATCTAGGGAGCTTCATGAGGACAGATGTTCTCTCTGAATAGTTTTTTTGTGTTCATCTGGAGCTCATCTTGTACTCCTCAAAGTGCAAGAAATATGAAATGCTACTTCTACAGGTTGTCTAGATTTCTAGAGTAGGAAAATGCAAGTTTCAGTTTGAAACTTTTCTACAGACACTATTAGGCTATTTTCGATCATGACATTCCTAATTTAAATATGCACTGTTGGTTACAGACCTTTAAAGTTCTAGAACTCCATAAAATTATTTTAAAGCTTTTACTTCAGAGGAACCCCACTCATGGCGTGTTTGGACCACTTGACTTTTTATGGCTCTTTTCCTAAATAGCATAATGAGCTAAATCCCAATGAGTTTATCCGTGTGTTTTGGCGCGCTTTGATTTATGTGGTGCTACAAAGCTTTCTGAAGAGTGGCGTGACAAAGCTTGTAGAAAATCTGCTCAGTTGCGGGTATACCTCCATCCTGCAAGCTTTCTGAAAATGAAAATAATTTAAAACACATTTAAAAAAAATGCTGGCCAACCAGAGGCACGGAACTCCCCCACCACCGACCATTGATGTGTGTGATTTGTGCTGGCGACCATCTTTTTCCAGATGTGTGTGTGTGTTTATGATATTTGATTACAAATATCAGGCATTGTTCAGTTTATTTTTCACTAATGTGGATCCGTTTGTTGTCTTTGGCAGCGTTTCTTGACTTGTGGCTTTTGATGAAAATCTAGAGCACACACTGGTACTTCTGTAAGATGTGGTCGAGGTTATTTATGGTTTCTGTGACTGAATGAAATTATTTAGAAGTCAGTCTTACAACTTAGTTATTTGACTTTTACTCTCCAACTTCACCTTCTCCTCTTTCAGCTTGAACTATTCTTAAAACTTAATTGTCATTTAATCTTTTTTGTGTGGACTTTCCTTCCCTTTCCACTTAAAACCCCTCCAAAAATGGTGAATTCATTATAATGAAAGCTATTGAAACTTTATTAATAGTCGGTTTGTCATATCTATATACTTTTGTAGACGTTTACGGCGTGGTGCAACTCCCACCTGAGGAAGGCTGGTACGCAGATCGAAAACATCGAGCAGGACTTCAGAGATGGACTAAAACTCATGCTGCTGCTGGAGGTCATCTCAGGTAACTCCACATTCACGGCACTCAAATTAGAGAAGTGTCAAAGATCTGGAAATAGTCATCCATGAGTGATATTAGGGTGAGCATGTGGCTTCCTTTTTTCACATTCAATTCATTTTTGAGTGATGCAGACATCGCTGCTGTAACTTAAGCCCCCCGATGGTTTGTCGTTCTGCTGAGCCCGTGGAAATGTGCAACGCTTTCTCCCCCTTCACCACAGCAGCTAACTCACGTTTATTCTTCGGTTTCTCCAGGCGAGCGGTTACCCAAACCAGAGCGAGGCAAGATGAGGGTCCACAAGATCAACAATGTGAACAAAGCTTTGGATTTTATTGCCAGCAAGGGAGTCAAGCTGGTGTCTATTGGAGCAGAAGGTAAGCCTGTGTCCAAGAAAATCAAAAAATACCTTTTGAAAGAGAGGACATGCACAGCTCAAGTCTCTAAAACACAAGTTTTACTTCACTTTATAAAAATATCCATATCGGTACACAATGTGTGTTTTTTATTCTTTGAATCCCCGCCTTCAGTGAAACTAAATGTAGTGCAGTTTTTCAGCATCCAATAAAATCATCTGATTTCCCTGTGGCTGCATCATTGATATTGTGCCTCTCGTCTCACTCTGCTTGTGGAGCTCAGGACCTGACTTTGTTATAAAACAGTCACTAATACTACTGTAACAACTGCTAACTGCCATCAAAGCATGTTTCAGTCTGTGTTCAGAGTCATCATGTAAAAGTGATGTTAAATGTTATTGAATGGATTATTATGGGGGACGTTATTTGTCTACTTTGTAATTCGCACATTGGTTATTTCTTTTTAATCAGGTGGAATTACATGCTGGCTTGTAGCTTAAAACCAACTATGACTCAAAAGATTCTTAACCCTTTCAATTTGCAGGTTTATTGAATGTAATGGGGTTTAGCTGGAATGCTAAGGGGTTAAGGGAGTGCTTCTGCCGTTTTAAAATACTTTTGTCTGTAAAAGCTATAGTCACTACTACAACGGTTGCAGATTGCTTCTTGAACAGCCTCTGTTTTTATAGTTTATGTGCGTCAGAGCTAATAAGCTAACAGCTAGCCATAGTGTAGCTGCTTGAAAAGGCTCCAATCTCCTAAATTCACTCCCAATTTGTGAGATTTTCCTTTTGAAATCTTTGAAAAGTGTCATAAATTTTCCAGTTGTTTACATGAAGGTGTGTGATTGTTTACTATCATAAATATAACACTGATAGTTGCAAAAGGTGGCAGGAAATTCCTAATATTCCATCTGAAATAACCGTAGAATATTAAATAATTTTATTTAACAGCCATTGATTACATACCAGCTGAACTTGTACATTATTTGTACATACATGTGTAGCTGAAAACCTGCATAGTTCACACTTCTTTACAGTTTGTATTTAGATAGTTTTATTAGATGTGTTTGATATTGTCGGCCAACATTGGCATCAAAATGCAAAATAGGAAATGCATCAGTATTGTTTATTTACTTTATTTTATTTATTTATAACACAACTTTTACACACCATGCACATATTACACATCAAACTCTTCAGCTACTTCTCCTCCTAACTCAAAAATGTAACAGATCTCAGGTATAATTTTTTGATTTTTGTTTGGCACAATTGGTCTAACTTCAAAGGAAGAATTTGACATACGGTATTTAGCTCAGATAATGTTTGAAGTTTAAGTATACTTGATTGATGTGTGACGTTAGATAACTAAAATTATTTTAGTTTTTCTTTTTACATGAGGGGGACCTCGCATGTATTGGTATCAGAAGTTAAGAGTATCAGTAGAAACACAAATATCAAACATCCCTAATTTTATTGCATTTCTGCTTGTTTTTATCTTGTAATTGCCTGTTTTATTCTTCTGGTAACTCATGTTGGTAGCAGAATAAGTATTTCATTCCACAGGGAGTCATGTTTCTGTACTGTGTACATATGACAATAAAGCTTTTAATTTTGAATCAGAGGTTTTCAGGAACTTGTCCACAAGGAATAAAATGGAAATTATTGAAGTTTTTACACACAAACACTCTTTAAAATAGCCAAACAGCTCTTTGAAGTGCTAGAGTGTAGAAGGACAAAACACTCTGAGTCACGTTGGTGTGTGTGTGTGCGTGCGTGCTTGCGTGTGCGTCAGACAGCTAAAGGACGGTGACCTTTCTCCTACTTTGTCAGGAGAACCATGACATTCCTGCAGCATGACACAGCTGATACTGGCTACACTTGGAATAAAATATGGAAGCCCATTGTAGACTCTCACTCCATCTGGCCTTCTATGAAAATAGAAAGGTCATCAGTTGGAAACTGCCAGAGAAAAATGCCAACTCTGCAAAAAAAAAGGGGATGTTCCTGGACTTTCCTACCTGGATTTTTTTGAT